TAAAGTGGCGGAGCACCTGCGGTCTACTGAGGCCGAATGAGCTTGATGTGCAGTGTGATTTTCTAAGCTCCGTGTTGCTCAAGGCGCTACAAGAAATGGAAGGTTCAGCCCTTGTTACAGCAGAAACACCGTGGACTATCAGGGGGCCTCCATGGATCCATGCTGCAGAAGGCTAGTAGCAGATAATGTGCACGTAAAAAAGATAGGGCCTAGATTACCTTCGTGAGTCAAGATAGTACATGAAATATACAAAAATGAATGAATGCTTGTAAATGCAAAAAAGGCTAGGGAAGGGAATACGAGCGTAGCAGGTAATAAGCAACTATGCCTGTTGCATCCTTATACAGCTGACAGCAGGCAGCGAGTAATAGTAAACAGGCCTGGGGAGTGATGTAGGCTGTCACGACAGTCGGAGGGAAGTAACTTCGAGAAGAGTGGAAGATCTATAACCATTGGCGGTCCATTTACCTTCAGGGTCGGAAGGGGACAGCAGAAGCTGCTTTTGGGGGACCTGCGGATACGGTGTGGACAAGGAGGTGACCACGGTTCAGAAATTTGAAGGAATTTTCAAATATAGCGCGTGCAATTGTGTCCTAAGCAGGATCCCCTGCCAAACATTGCGAAGCGACCCAGTCAAAATATTTGCCCTAATTTCCCCCTCTGAATCTGCATTTTTTTCACTCCCAAGACGTTTTGACTTTCACACTCATCAGGCCCCTAGCAACTGCGTGCTCCGCCGCGCTTTGCATTCCAAAGGCTTCGCTCACACGCTTTCGGCGAGCAACACCAGTGCGTAGGTTCTCCATTTACTATGCTTGTTGTTCTTCTTCAAGGAAGTATATCCAAAAAATACTCAAAACAGCGCCACGGAGCCTCAGCGCTACGAAACCCCGACAGTCGGGCACACGTCTGCTGCACAGCGCTCTACATGTAGGCCACATCGCAACTGACCTCCCATAAAGTATGTAGCAATCCCAAACACGTCTGCGCTGTAGTTCAGTTTGGCTTTGCGTGCATTCGTGTCATTTCAAGTGTAAACTAAGCCCTTCAGATGTTGGAAGCATCCAAAGTGGGCGTGAAATTGCTGTAGGCAGTGTGGCCCACAGCAGATCTCGAGTGCCGCCGGGCGCCAGTACTTCCAGTTACCATGCCGATGAACATATTCTGAATTGTATGACCATGAGTGAGGCCTTTTTCAAGCTATGTTGTAGTGTTGCGCACTATATCCAGTGTGGGCGTTGCCACTGTGTGTGATTGGGCCATGATCCTCAAAAGCCCTCTATTTCTGAACTAGTCGGATAAATTGTATGTAATCACAAATAATTAAATTAAGGCCAATATTTCTTACAGTCAACGCCATTCCCCAGTCCTAATTCACTGCACTTAAACTGTCTTCGCTTTTCTTTATACTTCAGGCTGAGGCCTGTAAGCACTTTTGTTTTCTCACTAAAAGCTGTTTTCTTGTTGGTCGCGTCGGGGCCTGCAGGGTCGTTCCATTTCTTTCCTGCGCGTGTTTCATCAGTCTGTTTTTCTTGTAGGTGCTAGTTATAACTGCTGGGAGGTGCCTTCTCTTCGAGTAATTGCCGGTCTTTCGGGCCGCTATCTCGGGCTGCCCCTGAGAGCAGTGGTGCTAGTGTCGCCTGTGCAGTGCATTTGGCAGTTGTATTGGTGGCCGCTACTGCAATGCCGCCTTCATCAATGCCTTTGCCGTGTCTGTTCCTGCTTTGCTAGCACATTCCCTGTGTCAATGGAGCTCCATTAGTCTTCGGGGCTGCTGCTGTTGCCGCTACTGTGGTGCCTCTGGTGTGTTGCAGTTGGCGGCATTCGATTGCGTTCATTCTTGCCGCTGCATTTCGTTGTTATTGCCGCAGCTACTGTTGTGTTGCTAGAAGTGTTCAGTCTGCAGAGCTGCGTTCCTCATGGTACTGCTGCTGCTGTGCTGCGTTGCTCCTATACTTCTCAACCGAGTCAGTGGGGACGTAGAAGTGACGATTGCTTAGTCTTGCCCCTCCGGCTTTTCCTTTACCTGTACGCTTTGAAATTTCTACATTCATTTGTGCTTGTGTTACCTGCGATTCCGGTCCACTCAGTGTTATGTGATTTTCCGCTTCGACTTTTGCAGATGCAAGTGATTCAAATTTTTATGAGTCATTCATCATTTTTTGCGGCTGCTTTATCTTCCCTTGCTCTAGTTGGTTACTCTTTTACTTGACTTTCCTCCGAACGCTTTTTGCTTGTTGCAACTTCTTTGCCCACTTGGTGACAAATTACTAGCTTTGAATTTTTTCCACCAGATCATTATACGGCAGATTTGCTTCTTATGCTTTTCCCCCGTACACTTCATTGTGTTTCCCTGGCAGCTAACCTTTGTTTATGCAAATCATTAAAAGTAGAAGTTCAGCCTAGCAACGTGCTTGCTCATGCATTTGAGCCCGACTTAACAGTGGCTATCCCACTCTGGGGTATCTTCGGGTTTAGCTGCAAGTTTGCGCGTGCATTTTGGTATATGCGTGACTTCTATTTATGCGCGCAGAAGTTGATGTGCATGCATACATAAGTTGATGGTGATCATTTAAATACTTTTGTAGATGAGTGCTTATACCTTAGTGTATAGTTCCACACAGGCGCATTTTGTGTAGGCGTTTGAGTGCGCGTGTGAAGGCACGGAAATGTTGGCCCTCAAAGGAGCTCAAGCAGCTGTTGGAAGCCCGAGCTGTGCTCTCGAAAAGGTGCCAAGAACGAGCGGTTATCTTGGACCAAAGACCTTGACAAGTTGTGCAAAGCGAAAAAAAATTAGGGTTTCCCAGGAGCGTTGGTGAGCACTTCAGAACATTTTAGGGTTAGGTAGAGCAAGGGCACGAAGAGCCGGCAAATTCTAGTGCAAGGAATTGACTGGTTGCTTGGAATAGATCTGGTTGACGTAGGCCCCGTTCTCAAAACGCAAAAGAGTAGAAAGATCCGTGCTACGGTGGCCAAAGAACTCTCCTGCTTTTCCTGCCGTCATGTGCAGTATTTGTAGCGTGAGCTCGTCGTATACCTTTTCGGCAAGAGTTCTGATTTGCTCCTTTTCTGCTGGCCATCTTTTCTGCACTTTCGCCAGCTTGAACTATCACTGCCGTCTACTTAGGTTCTCAGTGCTGACGGAGGACAACAATATCCCTTGTGATTCATTAAGCCCTATAAAGTCCGCAACAGTTGATAAAGAATACATACAAATAGAAGATTGCCCGAGAGATTCATATGTTTGCAAGAAGTTGCAGGGAGAGCCACTATGTGTTCACTAAGCAGCCAGTTTCCACTGTCGACTGTGAACATAGGCACCTAGGGAGGCCAATGCGCTTGAAGCTGTGAGTCTTCCATCATAGCTGGACCACAACGCTTAACAAAGCGCTGTTCACGCTTCGCACTTGTGTATAGTGAGATCTAGATGTATACCCTGCTTCACCAGAACCTGCCGTCTTCAGGCTTTTATCTGCAATCTCAGAGTCAATTTTTGGGCAGTTTGCATTTCTTTTCGTCCCTCATCAGGGCAAAGAGTGCACCATTTGTGAGATTGGCGTGGAAGTTATCTGCGTGCTGTTTGGGGGAGAGGATGCCCACCCTACCACAGAAAGAAAGGTCGGGTGCGTATTGTGCGTGTTGTGCAAGAGCTTTCTTTTATCTAACTTCAGTCAGGCGTGCTGTTGTCAGTTCCAGACATACAGCACATTGAGTGCGCATTTCTGCCTCAATCACGTCGCACTGTCCCATGTTAGCGTTGCTGTCGCAGGGATAGTATTTAGCAAATACTAGCGTATCTCCATTCCCCACGGAGTGTCGGCTATTCCCGTCCCCATGTGATCCATACGCACCACCAAACGTAGGAGCGACCTCAGTATGGTCCCACTATTACGGACCATGCTGAAGCCATTTATTCGAGTTTTTCATCTTGCTGAGAGCTTCAACACGGCGTTTTGCAGCTGCTGAATCGAGGAGAAACGCCATGAATTGGGCTATACTGGCTTCCAATCTGAGACGGTCCCTAGGAAATCCTAATGATCGTCAATCTCAAACTCAATACAGTTGCTCTCTTTTTTGTTGCTAACTTCCAACTCGCCGCGAAGCTTTGTGACACATCTTTTCCAAGGGCTGGAAGTACGCGCCAACTTCGAACGCCAATGATCTACCACGTTGAGCCACTATACATTGTTATTAGTGTATAAATGTCCTGTTCAGCCTGTTTTCAGTGGCGTGGGGGCCACTTTGACTCAGCATCTCTTCCTTCCGTTGAGTTATGTTTGCTGCGAGGCCCTGGGTCAATTTAGAGAAGCAAGCATGCATAATGCCTAAGTGAAAGTTCGGTGCTCATAGGTGCTTTTACCTCGCACATCATGTAAAAGTATTGCATTTTGAAAGATGTTCCAAGCCAACTTAATACCTCACTACGGGCTGCCTTAGGCACGTTCCAGTGCACTTGGCTATCTGAGGCGCGTTACGGCAAAGTACACGCATATTGACTGCCCCATAACTACGGGTTTTCCTTTTCAGAATGAGATGAAACAGAATACAACATGCATCACTACACGGAAGAAACAGAAGGCCATGCTTGCGCTCTTCTGAACCTTCGGGGCCTCATGGCGGAAGTTGCATGCGGTACTTCAAGGGCATTGTATCTCCGCAAAATACTTATTTGTTGAGGAATATTTTGTTTTTCGCCTATTCTGTATCGTTTTTTCTGGGTTTATGTGCAAGAACATCCTTCAGGAGGGGGAGTCTCTGTGTCCGCCAACAACAAGCCCAAGACAAGAGCCTTCGCAGAAAACGCTGATGTCCCTCTCTTTGTTCTATTACCCTGAAAAGTGATTGGATCTTGGGAATTTCAGTCTATAGCCTGGGCCTCACGGTTCAGGCTTTTTCCACTGTAGAAGATGGCTCCCAAGAAGCCGAAGTGAGGTGCCGCCAACTGTCCCTCGTCAATGCTGGGAAGCTGAGTGCTTAACATTAGAGGCTAATCGCTGTGAATGTACAACTTCTTCAGGATGCCATCTGCACCGGAACCATCGGGGAAGGAAAAGGAGGGCAAAGATAAGGCAAAGACACTGACGCCTCCTGCAGAGGTCTTCTGGCACAAAACTCTGAACCCTTCATCATGCATCCCAGGAGCAAAGACATGCTTTAGAGATACTTGTCGAGCATCATCCAGTTTCCTCATGCAACTTGGCTACAGTGTTGGCGCCTTGGCTTGCCTTGCGACCGAAACTACTGCCTATTGAGAGTAGTTGCAGCGCGGGGGAAATCTCGATAGTTATTGATGCGCTGTCATTTTAGGTCAAGACACCTGACAGGCCTCCTGGATATATCGAAATGAAGCCATTCCAGAGACTGCCTAAGGAAATTCTTCACAACCACTGTCAGAAAGTGAGGGGTTGGGATTTACAGTTTACGTTCAGCCGGTTGCGGCTTATTGCTTAGGGCTACACAAAACATTCTAAAAATGTACTTGGGGCTAGGTACAGAAAATATGTATGATCTGGGCAGCTTGCACAGATTAGGGCACATCAATTTGTGTTTGGGGTGCCTGCTCAGCACAAGATGCCGAAGCCGCAGTACGAACAGCGCCGGGCTCCAAAAGGTTTTTTTAAGACCGAGTGTATCCTTAGCAACCCTAAAGACAGCTCAAAAACCATGAGGTGGGGAATAATGCTTGCTGCGCTTTGTTTCTTGGGAGACAGCAACAGGACGACCCATCTCGTGAAGAAGGCGACCTGCACTGCTGCTAGCCACGCGTTGTAGCATCAACCCTAACAGCAACACAAATTATATTATTAATTAACTAAATGTATAAAATTAAAGGATTTAAATGTACACTTGCCTGAAGAATAAATGGAGCTCAAATGGCAGAGAAAAGTGCTAGCACAAGTAGCAAAAATAATAGGAAATTCTAATACTCCCTGACTGCGCTACACCTGCGCGGTTTGTCCAGCCGGCGGCTTTCCATTTTAATTTGTTGTGTTGCTTTTGTATGCATGCAATAGATTTCTGACGAATGAGGAGTTTCCTTTCAAGAGTCACAGTGAGAACTTCAGCGCCTTGCTGGCTCTTTTTCATTTGGAACCCTCGAGACCTTACGAGAAGCTCTTCCCCTCCCCTTTCAGAGAGGCCTGGTTGTCTCTCTCAGGGGAGTTGCCCCAGCAGCAGCAACAGGAACCAGCAGTAGCAACAGTAGGGGGGTCCAAGAAACCAAGCGCAAAAGCCAGGCAGGCAAAAGGAACAGCTAATGCGCAGCCTGTCGCAAAAATAACAGCAGCAAGAGCAATCGGGGCAGCTGCTGAAGCTACAGCTGAGAGTGGCAACAACAATGGAGCAGCGACAGGAGCAGCACAGGCAACAGCAGCAGACGGACTTGCGGGTGGACCGGAAGCGGGGTCTCCGGTGGCTTCCGTGCAGAATGAAGGAGGCGCAACCAGGGGTCCCCGTAGCGGGCCTGAAGGACCTGTTACTGCCAGTGAAGCATCGCCTGTTGGAGGGAGCGTGGGCACCACGGGGGCCCTCAACTGTATCCAGATAACTAGCGCTCACCGGTACGCGTCTGAGTTTGAGCGGCAGCAAGCTGCTGAGACGAAGAGACTTGAAAGGGTAAAGCGGGAAAAAGAGAAGGAAATGCAAAGGCTGGAGGAAGAGGCTCAAATGCCCACTGTTTTCATGGCTGAACTTGTCCGCAGAAAAACTGCGCAAATTCTCCGAGAGTTGTTGCCGCACGTCGCTGCAACGCGTTGTGAACCCGCCGCTGTTGCTTCAGCAGCCGCAGCAGTGGCTGCTGCTGTTTCAGCTTCTGCTTCGTCGAAATCAGGAGCTGTTTCTGCAAGAAAAGCGAACGAGGATAGCTTCCTCCTCCCGCTTCAGTGGACGGACACAAAGTGGACCGCCGCTGTCACCTGGGCGCTAAGGAGACAACTGAACCCTCAGAGGGCTTTGGGGAGCCTCAGGACGAAGCTTTTAAAAGAGCTCACTGAGCACCTGCAGTTTGAGAAGAATTCTGCTGTAATTGCAGTTGAAGCTGCTTTGGCGGTCTTGTTAAGTGGCCCGCCTCAACAACCTCAGCAGCAACAGGAGCAAACGGAATCAAGTGCTATGCAGCAGCTGCTTGAGAGTTGCGAAGACTTCATTGCGCTCAACACGACTGATGAGTCATTGCTGCCTCCGCATTTCTCCCCCGCTGGAAAGCAAATCGAAATCCGCTGCCAGACGGCCAGTTCTCAAGGACAAGAGAAGGACCAACAAGAACAGCAGCAGAAACAGCAGCTAGATGACAAAAAAGAGAAAGCAGCGATGCAAGCAGCGAAAGAAAGATTAGCGGCCGCTCTCAAGAAGTATACGGAAGCAGACTCCGAGGAACCCTTACGAGGCACACTGTCCCACCTAGAGGGGGCATTGAACTCTCTTTGTTGCAGCACTGGGCTGCATGCTATTGCTGCTGGGGTGTTAGAGGGGCAATTGAAACAACAGCAACAGCAGCAGAAACAGCAGGGGCCTCAGCAGGCAGCGGCAGGGCCGGCGGCAGTGCTGTCCGATGCATTTGCTGCCGTTGCAGCAGCTGCAGCAGCTGTTGTGGGCTCATCAGAAGAGAGCAATAGGAGAGAGCTGCTTCAGCGCTTGGGAGCCTCCCAACTTCTAGCCGATGTCGCAGTGCTGCCAATAACAGATGCCGTAAGTTTTATGCTAAGACCATAAGCGGGAGGCAGTTCACGCTGTGAACTGCGTATACATTGAATTACCAAAGACTGAGTATTAAGTTTCTCATCTGAGCTGCCAACGCATTGGACTTTAATGTTCTCAATAGGACGTTATGGTTTTGAATGCGCTCCAAGGTATGGAATTTCGGCCGAAGGTTTGGTGGCGTGTCTGCAGGTAAAAGAGCAAGAGCTGGAAGCTGCAGAAAGTTTGCTGCCAAACTGTGTGGTTGTGCGGCTATGCGTTCCCATTGAATATGCGGCTCCAAGTGGGACCTCTTCAAGGGCCGCTACGGGTTTTTATTTGCAGATCCCTCTGGACGCTTCTGCTGCGTCATCACTTGAGAGCTGCCTCAAAGCATCATTAGGTGCGGACTCTATACAAGGAAGCCCGCAGAAAGAAACATCGGGGGATGAGGCACTAATACTGCACATCTTGTGTCCTCCAGGGTCTTTGTACCCCCTGGAACCCCCTGTTGTGTGGATCTCTTCGGGTGGAGCCATGGGGTCTGATACACGAGAAGACCAAATCCCGCCCTTTGGTGAAGGCGTTGGAGCCATTCTATGTGGCGCATTCGCCGCACATAATGCACTGCGCCTCTCACGTCCTCTGCAGCAACTGTCCGAGTACATCTCATCTCAGGCAGCTCCCAACGCGGACTCTAATGTTTCTAAGTCCTCTTGTGCCCCCCAGCTTCTCAGTGTACTGTCTTCACCTGCTTGCGAGACTTCAATCTCCGACGTGACAGGACTGCTCCTGGCGTCCTGGCAGATGGAGGCCCAGCTTGATGAGCTTCTTTCCAACGATCCTGAAGGTCCCCGTGGAATGTTTGCAAGATGGGTGGCAATCTCCACAGGGGCAGTAAAATTAGCTTCTGCACCGCCGGCACGGAGTGTGCCACCGAGAAGAGGGGCCAATGCAGCAGCAGAAAAGAACTCTGTAGAAGAGAACGCAGCAGAAAAGAACGCAGCAGAACAACAGAAAATGCAGCAGTATGATGCAGGCTCAGAAAGTCGCACTTCGCGTGCTCCTGGCGGGGGACCCACTGAAGCAAGGGGGAAAACGGGAGATGGAAATGTTGGGGCTCATTCAGCGGGCCCCTTAATGAGCTCTTCGAGGCATTCCACTCTAAGCCGAACCGGAGGAAGACTCGCAGGAGGAGAGGCGGAGGTCTGCAAGACCATCATTGACGGAGTGAAGACAGCAGCGTCTGCTGAGGCCCTGGGGCTTCCCGTGCGACAACACTTTGACTCCGTCATGGAATTTATGGCAAACCCACGTAAAAGGGTACTTGTTGTTCAGGGAGAGACAGGGTAAACATTTGGGCGAAAATTTGAAGGGTTTTGGCTGTTTGGGTCTGTGTTACAACATTGAGCCTCTGCCAGCATCTCCTTGTTATCTTCTGTGGCCACGTCAGCTGCTTCCGTTCTATGTTTGCATGCATACTGTTGTTACATGTGTAAACTTTTCACGCGTCTCTGTCTTTCTATGCCTACGCTTCTATTTTTCTGCTTCTGGACCCTAGGCGCGAAATCCTTCTCTTCGCCTGTGCGGCCCACCCCTTTAAGTTCAGCCGCTGCATTTTCTGATTGCTCCATTGCCCCACTGCAGCTAATCGTAGCTTAGTGCTATTTTGACACTTGTTGCTGCTATTGGTTGTCACTGCAGGTCCGGAAAAACAACTCAGCTGCCTCGGATGCTGCTGGAAGCAGCAGCGCATCTTGCACTGCAACAGCAGAACAATGAGGGTAACATCATGGGCAGCGACAAAGAACATTTCCCTGCTTACATTGTCTGCACGCAGCCTCGCCGTCTCGCTGCAGTGTCTGTAGCTAGCCGTGTGGCCACTGAAATGGGAGCTTCTGTTGGCGGCCTTGTTGGGTACCAAGTCCGTCTCGAGTCCCGTGTAACGAAACATACACGGTTGCTTTTCTGCACTCATGGAGTCCTTCTACGACAGCTCCTGAGCAGCGAGTAAGGTTTTTTTTGAAAGTTTTAGACACTCTCGGGACAGCTTACGTTGAAACTCATCATGCACTGCCGAAGCGAAGTACAGAGAATGTGCGTCACATTGAGCTGAGCAACATGTTTTCTTACTCGTGGAGATTGCAGTCGTAGATGAAAAAAACCCATTGCCGTAAATACCTTATTCGCTTTGGTCCTCACGCAGACAGGTACGTGGAACGTAGTGGTGGCATGTATACTTATTTATTCTTTGGTATGTTTAATCGTTTATGCGCAGCTGCTCCGGTTGATGCTTGTACCGTCCATGTGCATTTCCATAGCCGCACAAGTTTGCGTGGACATATGTAAAAAAGCAAAATGTTGGCTACGTGAGTGGCTGTCAGTCTACACTTTGTGGCTTTCTGTTTGAAAGCTACCCCACAGGTGGGATTCCTCACTTTTAACGCGTCAACGTGTTGCCAGTGCCAAGCGGTTCACGAGAACGTTTCATAAGCACTCCAGTCCTCTGTCGTGCGTGACAGTATACGAACAACGTTAGTTGGTGTGCCAGTGTATGAGTTCCCCAGCACATTCGCTGGAAAGTTCATATAGAGTTTTCCAGCGAATGCGCTGGAAAAGGCATCTACGTACTTCGTGTGGGTCTGAACGTGCGTGCGAGTCATTAAATGGAGATTTTGTCTTTTGGCGGTGCAGATAGCACATACGTGCATACGTGCGTGCACTTATTAATGAGCATACATATTCATTCGTGCAAGCTTGGGTGCTTTTGCACTAGAGCGTCCACATTTATTCAGGATTAGCTTGTTTCCATACGGCGCCAGCGAAAGCCAATATACAGTTCCAAAAGAATATTTCTAGAGATGCACATGCACATAGGCATAGATAGAGAGAGACAGGCAAGGCCACGCCAACTAAAGCCAGAGTGACGCAGCTTGAATATTCAGGTCTCCCTTTGCACAGGATGTCTTCATTCATGCGTATACATGCATATACACATACAGTTGTGTTTTTTTTTGCAGCGCTCTTGATAAATTCTCCGTGGTGGTGGTGGACGAGGTGCATGAGCGGTGCACGGAGGTTGATATGCTTCTGCTGGTCCTCGCTAAGGCATTGGCATCAAACAAACACAATGTAACTCATCCACACATTATCACTATCACACCAAGGAGGCGTCTGTTGAGCTAGCACACACAACACCTGGGGCATTATCTGACAGTTTGAGGAGTAGATACTCCAAGACATCAAGAAATTTAGGAGACACGTTCCTAAGCAAGAAAAAAGGAATTGTAGAGGAGGGGAGACCAACTGTGTTGGCGGAGTACAACAGGGAAATGAGGAGACACCGGAAATAGTGGGGTAGATGAAAGGGGGACAAGGACACATTTTTCTGTTCAGTATCACTTCGTATCAAGATATTTGGCGAGAATTACATCTCTCCTGGCAAAGCTACCATTTTGCTGTTGGGTTTATCTGCAGCTAAAGGTGGTTGTGATGAGCGCCTCCCTAGCTGTGGAGCACTTCGCTTCATACTTTCTCCCTGAGCGACTCACGACGCTACGAGGCTCTTGTAGCACTGGCGGCATCACCCAACCGCAGGAGCATTGCCAGCGGCAGAACCGGCGGCTACGGGCTGAGATGGACAGAAGTGATAGCAGCGTGGACGTCCTCAAAGTTCCAGGCAAGACCTTTCCAGTTTCTGTTCACTACCTTGACGAAGTCTTACGAATGTGTGATCCTTCTTCGCTCCCTGCCGCGTATCAGAGCGCACCAGCAATAGCAGCAGCAGTGGAAGCCCGGCACAAAGGAGGGAGACCCACCGCAGCAAAAACTGAGTGGCGTGAGCAGCAGCAAGACACTTTCTCCCCAACGCCAACTACAGCGGAAAATGCAGCAGCTACAGCGGCAGGAACCTCTGTCGGGTCGCTTCCTCAACTGCCGCAGTTGGTTGCAGCGGTTGTTCGTCACGTACACCTGACGGGGACTCCGTGCCCCAAATCGTCTGCAGAAGGCACCAGGGGTTCGCGAAGAGGTAAACACGGGCAGCAACACCAACAACAAGCGACAGGAACAGCTATAATTGTTTTCTGCAGCGGTGTCGGCGAGGTTTCTGCTGTATGCCGGGCAATTGAGGAGTTACAAATGGACTTATGGGTGTTACCATGTCATGCGTCGCTGCATCCGAAACAACAGCAGAAGGTAATGTCTAATTGCTGCAGCCGTCACTGTTTCTGCTGGTGTTAGACGCGCAGCATGTCCCAACTCCGTGTACAGCCGGGTTTTGTTGAGAAGAGTTTCTTGTGCAGAGCCAAGTAGTGTAGGATTAGGCCTGTTTTCTGGGCGATTATTTTAGGTGTTTGCTGCTCCTCCATCTGGCTGGAGGAAAGTAGTGGTCGCAACAAATATCGCCGAAACCTCCATCACTATAAGTGTAAGCGGCAGACTCTACTCCCTGAGACTCGGTACAGCGTAAGTAGATCAAGCGCCTTTTTGTGCTGCCAGTAGAGCATGAAATAGTTCTTTGTGGGTGGAGTAGCTGGGCGTGTGATTGTGGAGTGTGCAATGTACATATTAGGATGTAGGATACGTGATTGACTGCGGAACGCACAAAGTCCTGCGATATGACCCGTCTAAGAGAAGCAGCAGACTTCAAGAGGAGCTCATCACCAAAGCCAATGCACAGCAGAGAAGAGGACGAGCCGGGAGAGTTTCAGAGGGCTGCTGCCTCCGGCTATACCAGAAAGACGAGTTTGCAAACATGGCGACGTCCGCAACCCTTGAACGCAGAATCTAAATTTGAAACTAAATTCCCATTTAAGCGCAAACCCTACAGGTGTTGGGGGAAATGACCGGCTACACGAAGAAGAACCGAAGGGCCTGCAAAAGAGCTAGGGAGCGCTGTCTCCTACGCTAAAGCTCGCAGACATCAACTAAAACAACTCATTATGCGTCTGTTTCTCGTTGGGTTGTTGCTTGTGCGGCTATTGATGCAGGGTGGAAACCCCGGAGTTGCATCGCCAGGCTCTGGACAACGTTTG